GCTGTGCATACGGACGCTGGGAGTTCACACACTTTCCATTGTCGTTGAGGGGCTTTTTTTTTTGTTTCTTTTTCTTTTTTATTTTCCCCAAGCAACCTCTTCCCATTCCCCCCTGGAAGCGCCGGAGATATTAGACGCCTAATGACAATGTTTCGCACGCGGGGGTGGGGTGAGGAGGACAGCAGGCTTGTTAACGGGGTTGATTTTAAGCCCGCCCAATTACCGGCCCGGGGCAAGCTGTTGCCCGGCCGGCCGCGCGGCTGCCCTGGGTGTCCTCGGCCCCGCGGGTGGCTCCGGCCCGACAGCAGAGCCCTGGGAAGGCGGCGGATCTCTGGGGCACGGAGTGGATGCGTTCCGCTCTCTTCCCCACCAAAAAGCTGCGGAAACGGGAAGCGGAGGGTTTGTCGATCCCGTCCGTCCGTCCTCTCGGTTGTCCCGGCTCCAATTGTAAGCTGGGAGACCCAGCCGGGGGAGTTCCCGTGGGCTGAGGGCTCCCCCTCTCTGCTCCCTGGCAACGCTCCGGGGGGTGGGAGGATGTGCGGCCGGAGGGAAGGGGTGCCGGGGGTACTTTCGGCTCAGTGCTCGAGGTGTTTCCCCCGCAAAGAATCCACCTCGGCGGCCGAGAGAAGCTGCTCCCCATGTTCTCCCGTTCCTTTCAATCTCTTTTTGTTGTTTTTTTTTTCCCCTTCTTTCCCTTTCCCGCCAACCGAGAACTTTCGGGGCAGGCTGCGGAGGGCGGGCGGCTGCTTGGGAATTCACCTTGCTGAGTGCGAAGGGAAACTCCCCGTCTGCCTCCTTCCAGCGGAGCTGACAGCCCGGCAGGGCCCCGCTAACCCCCACCCGGGGGGGCACCGACTGGCAGAACGCGGCCGTTCAGCAGCCGCCGCCTGCCCTCCCCGTCCAAGAATGCGGGGCGGGGGTCAGCCGAGGGGGCGACGCGGAGACCGAACCTTTAGCTACGAGCACGGGGGAGGCTGCAGGGGGGCTCTCGGCCTCCCAGCTCGGAGCGCGGCCTCCCCCCATCGGGCTGGGGTCAGTTTCTTTGCATTTGGGTCCGGGACCGGCATCTTCCGGCCGCGGGGCGTGTGCGGAAGGAGGTGGGCTTCGCGCAGGTTGCGGGGGGCTGGTGGTGTGCCACCGCTGATTACACGCTCTCCTCTAAAGATGGTATCCGACATGAGATAATGAGGCTCCGTGACCGGCCCCAGGTTCCCTTTAAGTTTTCCCATGGACTCGAGCTGTCGCCAGTTCACAAAACGGCAGTGTAAGACAGCACCACGCTACTCAGATCCAATTTATGGCGCACAAAAGCTGATCCCCAAATCCCCACTAACAAACCGGGACCCGCAGACAATTCCGATAATGTTTAGTTTTTATTCATTTCTCGACTAATTAACTGGAATCCCACCTCCCCACCCCCATCCTCACCCCCGCCCCGCCCCCCCCTTAACAGTGCCCAATTAATCCGCAATGTATGTCAAAGGTCTGGAACCCACTGTAAACTGCTGAACCTTTGCAAAGATTTGTGTGTCTCTATATTGATCTGATTAGGACCGGGGTGCTTTTCCCTCGTTGTTACTGAGTTCAAAATAATAATAATTAAAAAAAAATGTGGCTTTCCTTTTTCCACCTTTTTTAAAAAGCCTCGCTTTCCCGATCTCTAATAGGATTTCTCCAAGTCGTCTCCAAACATCCCTTTGGTGTTCGTGAAAAGCCTCGCTCCTTCTCTCTCTCTCTCTTTTTTTTTTTTTTTTTTTTTTTTTTTTTTT